AACTGTCCTTTTATAAAGATGAAACTATACTATCAGCTGTGTAAAGTACAAAATAATGTTACACCTTTTGATCCCTAAAGTCGGTACGAAGTGTCATAACCGATTTTTGAATCTTTTTTTTAAGTCGTTTAATTGGTGTGACGTGGACAGACTGGCTGGTAAGGACAGAATGGAAAAGGTTGGAGGAGGCGTTTGCCGATTGGCAAACAGATCTGCAAATGATCACCAAAAAACAAATAATAGATTAATTTTTAACTTTAAGTTGCTTTTAAATGTAAGTTTAACGTAATGTAAGTTAAGGATCTGAATAAAAGGCTATATTATAAGTCGTTTAATTAATGTACTAAAACCAGTTCCTACGTGTACCTAACACATTTCTGAAGACCGCATCAACATCGGTTCACCCAATCACGAGATAATTGCGCACAAATAAATATACATATAGGTCAAACTGAATATCTTTTTTTTTGAAGTCATATAAAATTCAGGCTCGTTTGTGTGTGTGTATAGAGAGACGTGCCATTGATGAAAACAGGCTGAAGACAACATAATTATTATTCTGCAAATGAATAGAAAGAGTTGCACGATGTAGTGCATTAATGCTGAGCCTCTTTGTCACCTGTCACGATTATATTGAGCACAATTTCAGACTCCATGCTATCACTGAGATATTTTCGATAACCTGAAAAAAACCCTTAATTTGTGCTCGAACCCAAGAACCCTTGCTCAGGCCACACTTTCTTTTCATGGGGGGATATTCTCGAAGAGGGAAAAATATGGTGAAATAAGTACCTAAGATCTTTTAAGATCTCCTAAGATTTTTAATTTATCGCCTTGTATATCTGTGGCCTCGCTATTACAGGATCACAAGAACATTCGCCAGAGGAAAGATGAAATTTTAAGGTTGGATAATAGCCATGAATGCGTTGAACGGCGGACTTGCATTGAATAACTTATTAGAGAAATTCTCTCGTTTTAGTACTTTTAACTTTTTGTAAGCGTTTTATTTAAATTTTACACGAGAGGCGACGCTCAAACTGGAAGAGCTATTGTGTTTTTATAGCACTGCAAATTACTGTTATGAAATTATTCATTTTTAATTTTATTTAATGTTATATATACGTAATTGTTGATCACTTAGAAACTTTCTACATATACATTCCATACATACTCCATACGAACATAAACATATTGTCAGATCTTAAATGCTCCAGTAAAGAAACCACTTTTTGTTTTAGGGAAAATCTATTTTCAATGTGATGCATGAATTGATGAATAAATTATAACGTAATTGATTTATAATAATAAAAACAAATTACAATAAAAACATTGAAGACGTCATGTAGTTGCAAAATTGAACTTGTCAAAAAACTACACAATATTAGACAAAGTTGTACTAAAAAATCATTAAAGTAAAATAAATTTGAACTTTAAAAGGATAGAATAAAGTTAATTATTGAAACACGGCCTTCAAAGTTAACAGTAAAGTTCTTAACAATAGGACTAACTCTTTAATCTTCTAGCTGTCCAAACTAGTTCGGCTTCGAAAGGAAAATTAATCAACATTGAACCAGTTCTAAGTTAGAACAATATAATAAATTAAATACAAACTTAAAAGAATAAAAACTGCCTAAAAATATATACATATAAATAAAACGAAGCAAAAAATTATGCCTACATTACAATAAAAGCAATAGCTGAGTTCGAAGATCTTTAACTCGTCAAGTACCGGTTTTGTAGACACAATTATAGAACAATAGGTTGCGGTCACCGGTGACCGCTTGGTGTTTGACAGTTTAACCCGTTTTGGAACAGTACATAAAACTAATTAAAATCGTGGGATTCTTCTTCATGAGCAGCGTGCACGGTCGAGGCGATGTCGCGCAGCCTACTCGTGCTGTTGTCGTCTACATTAAACAATTAATCAATTATTTATTTTTATATTTTGAGTATTTAGGCAGCCCAGCACAGTATGTTAGGTAGTCAGATTACAAGAAAACAATGCCTAAACCATAACAAAAGCTGAAACAGTTTCCACCAAATGCTTGGATCTTACTACTAGGTAGCAACATTTCGCCAAGAGCATTGAATAGTTTACGCTAGTCGTTACTGAAAACGGGTGGGTTGTCCGGATATGAGATCCGACTGGACATTGAGCGATGCTCGGACACTTACGGACTCACCCGCCTTCGGAGAACATCGGACAAACTCGGCCAAACTCGGAGAAAACGGTTGATGAAATTCTTATGTTAATATTAGGAAAACCTTTTCATTTTATGCCCGAGTTTATAAGTAAAGGATGTTTTGTGTTGCTTTTTTTTGATAATAAATACGACGCTAAGTGTCTCCGAGTTTTATGATGTTTTCAGGCCTTTTATGTTTCTGAGTAATGGCGACGTAATATCGTCCGAGCGGACGGGTGCTCGGCCAGTGTGTTTATGTCGTGAGGGACCGAGTTGTAATTATTTAGAACTGCCGTGTAATTTGTTCATTTTTATGGTTTCTTGAATGTCAAATATTGTAGTTTGTTGGGAAAATAACTTTGCTGAAATGTTGATTGATTTTTTCACTACACCATGTCAAGGAGGTAATTTATTACAATGGAAAACTTATTTATAAGTAGTGTCGCAATAATATAAAAGTCTCGAATTAATGAAAGTTTACTTATCTATGCAAAATTGTATTGAATATCGTGGCAGCTTGCTTCACTTATTTATTTAAGACTATATTCATGTATCCTATTAAACAATATGTATTTATTAAGCTATGACAATTTTTCCCCCATTTCAATACCATAACCTATTTAATTTCCCAATTAATCGAGCCGTTACCAAAATGTTAGGAGGATAGCTATAAAATGTTTTCTTTACTAATAGAATGACAAACACCCTGTAGAGGGATTGCTCGTCATCTGTCAGAATCCCTTTTCACCCGGATTTTCCCGGATGTGGTGCGGTGATAAACGGTTATAAGTCACGTTGGAGCATTTTTCATAATCTACTGAGTAAATTGTCAACAAATATGTTTTTGGATCGTGTAGATATCAATCCTTCTGGTGTTAAGAGAGAATATTCACAGAAGGGTATTGTAACAATATTTTTAAAAGCATTATAATTTATGACTGCCTCGTTACTCGAGAGGTCGTAAGTGCGACTGCCGGGCTTCGACTGGCGGTCTTGGGTTCGATTCCCGGGTCAGGAAAAGTATTATAAGGTTTTAGAAATACTCAGTAGTAGCACGGAGTCTAGAATTGTGCCCGGTATATGGCAATAGGCTCACTCCCTATTACATGAGATTCATAACATAAAATTAAATAGTGAAAAGTGGGTGTTTTATTGTATAGTAGCATTTAGTACAGTAATGTGCACTTCTGCCTACCCATTCAGGGGTTAAAGACGTGATGTTATGTCATTAAAAATAACTTACAATGCACACACACACATCGATTGTACTAAATAACGACTATGTATAGGTACCAAAAAATAATGATACTACCTCTAAAAAAACAAATGACTATTTCAGTTTTAAGAATATTATTAAAAAACTGCCTCTTGTAACTGCCTGCGTATATAGGTTCATAGTTGTCTACTTATTCACATACATATATACTATCATAGCCAAGCTATGACGTACAAAGAACACTAGACAATCAACACATACACCACTTTACCATCGATCTATACCGTTGATGTTTTCCAAACAATTTCTTGAGTAAGATAATGTCGTAATGAATTACGCGATACGATAAGGGGAAAGGGGAGGTCGATCACGCGGCAAGCCTTTTATCCTCCTCGTCGTTTGCCGATAAGTTCATAATGTTAGCAGTGTTTATATCTAATAAATGGTTGTAGTTCCACGGGTATTTATGTCGGGAAAGCTGATAGTGGGGGCTGAAGGAAATTAATTGAAACAAGCGACTGAATAAAAGAAAATGTAGAAGCTATTGTGTGCTGTGATAACTAAAGGTAATGTTTCTCTTGTAGTGAGTAGTGTTTTAGTTATTATTTTATGACAAGTTACTCCCTCAAGGTTTGTCCTGCTCTGTTCGACTCCTATTGACCGTAGCGTGATATTTTATGTCCTGCAACCTTCTTCGATAAATGCACTACACAAAAAGAATAATTCAAATCGGATCAGTAGTTTCAAACTAGCACTTTCGAACCCACAGACAAATTCTTCAGCTTGATATGATTCTCACCCCCTATTACATGGAACTCATAAAATTAATAGTGAAAAGTGTATGTTACATTGAACAGTGGCATATGTTTACCCGTTCTTGGATAAAAAACGTGATGTTATGATGATGATGTTTTTTTATGGTATAAGCCGGTAAACGTACAGACGGAACACCTGATGGTAAGGAATCGGCGTCGCCCATGGACACCCGAAAAACCAGAGGCGTTACAAGTGCGTTACCTGCCTTTTGGGAATTATCTCCTCACCCAACGCGGGAGAAGTAATTGGACGATTTTTCCCACTCAAAAAAAAAGTGGCTATGAGGTTTAAAAGGTTCAGGTTAGGTCAAAGATTACTGACAGTGACCAATGCATTCCAATATACTGCCTTGGCTTATCTAAAGAATTAATTATAAAATAATGAAGAATATTTCATATGGAGGCCCCTTAGTACTACGTCATTATCCAACTGTAATAAAAATTTCCTCCAAATATGCGCATATAATTGGCTTAACACAGCTAAGAAAATATCACTAAGTAAGTATTTTATGTACACAGCACAAATAATTTAATCCTCTTCTGAACAATTCGCACAATTTTGACTAAATAATTTTATCTTCTAAAATCTTGTCGTAAGTTAAAACAAATATTAATTAATACGTCATGGAATTCTTATCTCGTTGTGTAGTAGCGAGTTCAAATAAAATATTCTATTTATAATACGTAAAAGTTTATGTTGACATCATTATTGTGTGTCAGTCTGTTTGTTCATTTGTTTTTTAGAAAAGAAGTAGCAAAGGGATCTTGCAATTACGTAAAATTATATAAGTCACTTGAATTTTTATCTAAAACTTATCACTCCTTGTTACATAGTCACTGAAGACACCTACTTCATGGCAAAAGCAACTGAACTGAATCGCATTGTGGCCATCCATCAAATACAATTAGGCGTTATTCGACCAAAAGATCGATAATCCAAAAATCGATAAACATACTAAAACAAACATCATAAATTAATTTTTTTCTAGTCTTCAAAAAAGTTAATTATCCTCTTTTAGGACCAATTCCATAAATACCCAACAAATGAAGAAACAAACCTCAGCTATGTCACACCTCTATATATTACATTAATTACAGTTGAAAATCTCGAGATAACGATATCAGTTGGCGGTGGCTTTGCAAGAATGATAGACATTGCGAGCTCCATGCAAGGAGAGATTGTGTACATGTGTTTTTGGAGAACCAACCTTATTGACTATAAAACTACTTGACAGGAGGTAAGAGACAAATATATTTGATTAAATTATTAATACCAAACGATATTGTTAAATACTAAAAGGTTCATCTTGGTAATAAAAATAAACTTTACACGTGGCTAGAAAAAATACTTAAGATAGTCTGTAGGGAACTACTATTTAACGGAACAGTTCGACTGTACAATTAAAATTGCACAGTAAAATTATAAAGTGTGTAAACGGCATAGTAATTTTACTTCTCTGGCAGAAAGTCGTATGTAATATGATTACAGTAGATCTATAATTGCAATATGAACCTAATAATAATAAATCTAAGAGGGCGAATTCTTTAATTAGATATTTAGCATTTTAATAATTGTTTATAAGGATCAAAATTAATATTTGATGAATATAAGAAGTACCTTCGTTATTTTGTAACAAACATATAGCCCTTTCGAAACGTCATTAATAACTACAACTGAATGCATTGCAACAAACGGTGGTACTTTGCTGTGCAATGATACCTCGTGTGCGCCATTTCCATTGAAAAGGAACTACTGAGAAATTACACACAACATTCAATTCACTATTCAATGGAACGGCAAATCTGTCAATTTATCTAAAGAGAGGTGTCGTTAGCCTTTTGAGTGACTTTATGTAAAAGATTTTTGTTTTATTTTTACTTTTTGGAGTGCTTCAAGCAATTATTAGACATATTTATTGTGTGATTTTGATTTATAAATAAAGTGTCCATTCATCGTCAACAAATCATGTTATCTCACTGCCTCTTCTAATTAATACTTCTTTTTTCTAAATAATCTTTAAACTAGGCAGGCGCCCTAGAAACTTAAACATTATTTGTATTCATCTATATTTTTATCAAAACGAAACTTTTACAACGAATATGTTTACAAGTTCAACAACCTCAGGGCTCAACAAATGAAAGGAAAGAAGATATTTATAAAATGTTTACATTTTTGTTTCAGCTCAAAACAGTCATGAATGAAAAACAAGATTTAATAAGTCTCAATGAACAGTTTGATGATACTGACTCAAATTCTGTAACAGAAGCCATATTTTTAGAACCCGGTGTTTACTATCCCAAAAATAGTAAGTAACACTTAGCTGTACTACAATGTAACATCGTACGATATTTCAATAATTTAGATAAACATGATGACAATAAACTACAAATAGAGGACAGACACAAAGCAAATTCACCTCTAAATTAAATGACAAACATTATTTTGTTTGCTCAACTAAAATTATTACTGATACAGCTACTTCTGGTTCTTGTTGATAGGTTGATAATCATTCTAAAATAATATTTCCAGGGCCTCTTCACAGTCAAAAGTCGCGGACCAGACCAACTAAACAGACAAAAAGATTCGTTTTCAAAAACGGTGACTTCAACATCGATAAAGGCAACACCAACCACCAGGGGTTCTTCTCAAGATGGTTCGTCACCATGGTGGAAGCTCGCTGGAGGTGGACCCTCGTCCATTTCTTCTTAGCCTTTACTGGGGACTGGCTGTTCTTCGGCTTCATCTACTGGGTCATCGCGTTGGCACATGGAGACCTGATTGAGGATCACTTACCTCCAAACCAGAACCAATCCAACTGGACCCCTTGTGTTGAAAATATTTATGGGTTTACTTCAACCTTCCTGTTTAGTGTTGAAGTCCATACGACGGTGGCTTATGGGAAAAGAGCCATAACTTTAGAGTGTCCTCAAACAATCACTGCTATGTGCTTTCAATGTATGGTCTGCTCAATTTTTCAAGCGTTCATGGTTGGGATTCTTTTTGCGAAGCTGACAAGACCAAAAGGTAGGACGCAGACAATTCTCTTCAGCAGACAGGCGGTGGTGACTTTGAGAGATGGGAAGCTCTGCATGATATTCAGGGTGGGAGACATGAGGAAGTCAAGGATACTCAATATTAAAGCGTCAGTGTTCGTTTTAAAACTTGGAGATGACTACGATGAGAATTATGAACAAACAGAAATGCAAGTGGAACTTGATGGTTGTGAAACAACATTTTTCTTATGGCCAGTGTCGGTGATACATGTGATAGATGAAAAGAGTCCTTTGTACAGTATCTCTGCAGCAGATTTATTAGTTGGAAAGTTTGAGATTTTGGCAGTGTTTGAAGGTGTCATCGAATCTACAGGGCAGCAAGTACAAGCACGAACGAGTTACACAGAGTGTGATATTTTATGGGGTCATCGGTTTATACAAATGGTTAAGCCTGATACGAAGTCCAATATGTATGACGTTGACTTTTCTAAATTGTGTGAAACTGAGAGAATTGATACGCCATTGTGTTCCGCCAGTGAATATAAGTCCATGTTGTCTTTGTTTGACTTAAACACATATACTACTTAAACTTGAATATTATCAAGTCTTTCACTAGTCACTTCTTAACTGATAATGTAGTATTTTACATCTTTAAAAATATGCGGATTGATACAGGGTGTAATTTGCATTTAATTTACACAAAAGTTATAAAAAGGACTGTAACCTTTTCTTCCACGACTGGGTTGGCACTGAATATTAGCCAGGTTTGGTCGAATGGCTTTTCATTTAATTCGATGCCTCTTTATTAAACCCTCGCAAACTTATATATTAACATTTTGTAAAAATAAATAATAGTAAGTAAATAATAATTTAGTTTTATTGCAAGATAATATTTAATTTAAAATTCACTGCGACCTCTAAAATATTGTTTATAAGGGCTCAGCTCCAAAAATAATTGTTTAAGGTAATTTAGTTGTGTCTGATTAGACAGGATTAATTAAATGTCTGTAAAGTCAATTTAATTTCAAATGTAGGTATTTACTTGATTAAAGTGAGTTGTGTTTAAAATACACTTTATAAATTACAGTATCAATTACAAGATTAGTCAGCTACATGCATCAAAAATATAATTTATTTCAATAAAAAATTTACAATGGTTTATAATTATATTTCGTTTTTTCTGGGATAAACCGGTAAATGAGCAGGCGGATCACCTGATGGTAAGCAATGAGCATCGCCCATGGACATCTGAAACACTAGAGCCTATACACGTGCGTTACCGGCCTTTTGGGATTAGGAATTTGAGGATTGTTGGGGATTCAGGGATTGGGAAAGGGGGGAGGGGTAATTGGGCCTCCAGTAACCTCACTCACACGACGAAACACAACGCAAGCGTTTTTTCACGTCGGTTTTCTGTGAGGCCGTCGTATGACTCCGGTCGAGCTGGCCTATTCATGCCAAAGCATGGCTCTCCCACACTTGTTAAAATTAAGTAGCCTTTCAATATTCGGGTGTCAGAATTTCAATACTAGCATCTGCTATCAGGAACCCAACCACAAACACTCCTTAGCAACATCCTTCCTACCACTTACCAACACATAATTCGCGTTTACAAGCACTCCAATCTTAAGATAGGAAGGATGAACTTACAACAACGATCCCCAAACTTTCCCCTACAAAATAGATGGATAAACATAGCTCTAGTTTACCTGTTTTAGACCTTACTAACTTCGAAAGTTGTGACACTAAGATAAAGTACTACTAATTTATTAGGAAAACTAAAAGTATGACAGTGTGCAGTTGATGTAGAAGTTAAAATTGTTTCTTGGCGAGTTAGAGCCTTGTGGGACAGGAGACATATTTTTCGAACTTTTAGTTGTAAAGGTGGAGGATAAATTGTGTCTCTACCCTTATGAATATGAAAATGCAATTTTGATATCCTCTTTTGTTATATAGTATTATTTGAGTTGTGTTAAGTAATATAGTTGATATTTAATCTTATTTTCAATAGAAATACAAAAGTACTTTCCAAGGCTTAAATTTTAATATAGCACATGAGCGAGTCTGAAATTGCGTTATTTTTTCTTTCGCATCGAGTCTGAATGCTAACTTTGATTCAAATTCGTATGCAGATTTTCCACACATGATAAAAATTTTATGCAACATCTTTTGCATGAAAAATGACCGATTGAATTTTTGACAGGAGCTGTCAGGTTTTGTATTACTGCCATCTACCTGTACCACATGTAAACTATGTTCTGGGAACTAATTAAATGTCAAATCAAGGGTCAAATCTAAGCGGTGTGATGAAATTGAAGGACCTTGTTATCATTACTAATTAATATTCTCAGTGTTCTGTTGTTTGATTTAGTTTGTCTCTGTGCTAATTAGACAGGAATTAAATATAATGAGGAATTTCTTTGATTTTTTGAGGTGATATTATTTTTCGTAATTCCCAGTAAGTACTTAACTATTGTCTATATTGGTTATTGTTTTTTTTTGAACTGAAAGTCACGGGTTATTCACATAAATATTTTGAGAAACGCTCTACTAGTTTCGAGCCACAGACAAACTCTTCCACATGAGCAGCGTGCGCGGTCGCGGCGACGTCGCACAGCCTATTTAGTCACTTTTAGTTCTGTTTTTGTTCTTTTAATTTAATTAAATGTGGCATTTTTAAATAATATTTAACTGTTCGTTTAATATGATTCGTCTAATGATGAAGTTATTTGACGCATTTGAGAATAGGTCAGACACGAAATACTGACACAGATTCTAGTTAACTAATATAATTTTTTTGCAATTGAAGTTAAGCTAAATAATTTTGCTACATTTTATCACAACTGTAAAAATATAAAATATACAATTGGATAGACAAACGATACCTTACAACCTAGAATTAGCCTTTAGCGCCTTACAATAATAACAGAGCAAAGTTTTAATTATTCAAATTATTACTTTTGTGACAGGCGCTACGAGTTTAATCAAATATTTGTTTTATTTTCAAGATATTAAAATGTTTTCTTTTATGCATGAAGTATTGTAGTACCCAGTATTGAAATATTACCGGAGATTAATGAAAATGTCGTTTGTGACCTTGTCTAGTTTACCGGTTCAATGCAATATTCGTTTTTAATTTAGCTTTTATAACATACTTTCTAAGTTTATTTTCATTGACACGATAATGTAAAATTTTAATATCGAAACATGACGGTTTATTACGTAATTAGATTATAAATATTAAGTCAACATTAACAAGTAAATGGTATCACGTTACTTTGAGATTGCTTTTTAAATAGTTTAAACTTTTTTGTAAACATTTTTATTTAATTTTACACGTAAATGACACCGTTTTTAATAGATTTAATATTGGTGTTTGTAACATATTATTATATTTTAAAGAATACCTATGCATACAATATTAACATTGATTACATTATAGACAACAGCAAAACAAGTTAAATGTGGGAGGGCCATGCTTCGGCACGAATGGGCCGGCTCGACTGGAGTGATACCACGGCCTCACAGAAAACCGACGTGAAACAACGTTTGCGTTGTGTTCCGTTTTTTAAAAGTTAGGAAAATATAGACAATATTTTGAAATTTTTCTCGAAACACTTTATAGCATAACCTACTTATATTATGAAGCCACACAACCTATGACATTTAATCCGAAACATTTTAGTCATATTAAAGTGTGAATGGAATCAGGTGAAATGACGTCACGGAGGCAATATTGTACGTGCCTGTACGGTGGGATATCCGTCTTTGGTTTTTGTATATGCCCAGTAGTGGGAACGTGGTGAGTTTTGTGGTATGTGAGTATGGGAGAATGAGTTATGTGAGGGACTTAAAGGTAATAGGGATTTTTGAATAACGTAAGTTTCAACTTCTGGAGTCGAAGAGACGTGTTCACTGCGTGATGAAACCCACTTTAATAAATAAAGATTTAAAGAAAAACATCGGGAGTGGAATATAATTTAGGCACCAACTTAAAAGTAATGTGATAAGAAACACGAATAGAAATCATGAGTGTGTTATGTGGCATTTTCTTTTCCTCATCAAAGAAGAATATATGAATTTGGCAATACAAAACAAGCTGGGAAGAATTTTCTCATTTTGAAATCCAATGGTTTGTCTAGAGATCAAATCCAGTATATCCTGAAAGTTCTTAGTTGCAACACTTTATAACTCAACTTTATATAAATAATCGATAATAATCATCGATGTTATCATGATACAAAACCTTCCCCAGAACAGTCTAAAACAACAGAGATTCAAAGTGAATTTAAAACAACACAAAACCCTACCTATTTCCTTCCACAAACAAAATAAAACAAATGTTCGCTATTTAACATCCACCATAATATTTCATATTGTTCTCACTAATAAAATAATACTGGCAGCTTGGCCTGAAAACTAATTTGCTTTTAAATTTATTACAGTATGTTCAAATGTTTTAGTTTCAATTTATCTCTTTACTCGCTCTGGGGACGTAAATGGTCGAAACATGTGGGCCTTAGGGACTGTTACCCATTTGTTTATGAAGCCAAACTGTTCTCATTTTTGTGGGTCTGTCGACTTGTTTTTATTTTGTGTGTGTGTGTGTAAAGTAGGAGTTTTAAGTAAAACGATGTGTTGTTTGTATTGTTTTTTTAAGTTTTAATTAGAAATGCAATTAATTTTTAGCAAGGTACAAACGCTTTTACTTATAGATTAAATTTCAAGGTCACATTTTTTCTAAATAGTATTTGTCTATAGAGTGCAGTATCTTTAGTATCTTCACTTATGAATAGTTAAGAAACGTACTTAGTTAAGAAGATATATTAAAAAACCTAAAAACACATTATTTTAAGAAATCTATGAAAAGATCACCCTATTTGCACATCAATAACCTTTCACGTATTGTGAACTTTCTAGTTGGCTAGTGGGGTCAGTAGTTTATTATATATAATACATAAATGAACTAACAGCTGTAGGTAGCTCGAAGCCAAGCTATAGAGTAAGGGGAGTGTGTATCGAATGATCTCGCACGTCGGGTCGGAGCCGGCTCGTAAACTGGACGCCTAATGCACCCTACATGGAGTTATAAAATAAACTATAAGTCCACTCATAAAACGTAATTAACCTTTAGTTGAAGGATTTATAGCTTTAAGTGTTTTTAATAATATAAAACGAAATCTTTCCAAATCATAGAACTTGATTTCAATTCTATGTTGTAATTAGAACAAGGAAAGGAAGTGGGAATACATATCACGTTATACAGTCTAAGATTGGACCTAGTCTGTATTAATCTTTGAATCAACTTAAGTAGATTCAAAGATTGATGTCCATACTTCATAGACAACTCTAAGGTACGTCGACCACTCGACAAAAATGTTAGAAGGGACTCACGAGTACAATAATCATAATATATCTACTCCTTTTCACGAAAATTTTTCCTTCACTTTAATAGCGAAGAAAAGAACCTTCTCCAATCATTATTAGTTCCTTGTAAGGGACGTTAGGTGGACCACGTATGCTGTACGCAGCTTTGCACTCTGGCTAAGAAGCGCTGCAGCGCTGAGAATTAAAACGGAATCCAGTCGCTCGATTTA